TTGTATTCGAGATTTTAAATTAAACTCATCGGACGATTGAAAAACATATGTGCAAATCGAAGATAACATCAATGGAGTCGATATCAGTACTTCAGAATATTTTTCGAAAATGTTTTCAAGAGCTTTAAAGTGCTTTTGTACTGTAGTTTGTAATGGATTTCTGGACACTCCCGATATCTCTTTGCGTAAAACTTCAAATATACCTTTCTCCATTTCTGATATCAAATCGCTTATAAATTGTTTTGCTTCCTTATTATTCATCGGTAAGATTGAACAGTGTACAATTCTGGAATTAATAAGCGAATGTAATTGGTAGCCAACAATACGACTCGTAACGATTATTTGATTGGCTGAAGACGTTCTGATTGAATTGATACTATAAATTTCATCAGTCCAATCATATGGATTTCGAATATTGGTTACTTCATCATCAAATGCCGAAATAAAGTTAGGTGTACGAACATATTCATCAATGAATTTTCGTATAAGATCAACAATTTCACCTCTACGTTTGACATTGGAAACTTCATCAAGTCCATCAAGAAGAATTAGTGCATGACCATAATATATCAATTCTTTCAATACATGTTCATCATCTTCACGACAATAACGTTCCGAAAACCATGTATGTTTACCAATATAATCTATTAATGTCTTTTTTGGATTATGTTCAAGCCATGTTGCAAATTCACCAATGCGAATCAGAATTGGAATACGAAGTGAAGAATCTTCATTTCTTGTCCATACCATGCGCATACTACGGTCAAGAACTTCTTCAGCAAAGATACGTGTTAACCATCGAAGAAGGCTAGTTTTTCCACTTCCTGGATCACCCAGAATAACCAACCATCGATAATAGCGTAATATGGTTTCGATTTTCATGGTTTCATTAAATTTTTCTAATTGCAGTTTTTCAGCTGAAGGTATAAAGCTATTGAGAGTGTTATTGTCAGGTTTTTGGGAACGATAGTAGTTCGAAAATGGACGATGGAGTAGTGTGATCGAACTTTGGGAGCAATTAAGACTTATATGAACACTATCCAGTTGTTTTTTAAGATTCCTTCGACTTTCTGAACTCAAACAAATGTCGACCAATCCGTAAACATTACAAAGGAGATCATCTATATTCTGAACTAAGCCATGCATCTGTAATTTTGAATGGAGAAAAATACATTTATAACAATACTCTCTGAAAAATGTATCATGCTTCGATATTAGTTCATTTAAGCTTTTTCGTTCTCCAAAATCTTGCAGAAATTTGGTTTCACGTTGTTCTAATTTGGTTTCCAATTGAATCGCTCCAATAAAGTTTTTCTGGCTGATACCTTCATATTGTTCATGATTAGGTCTATTCAAAATGTAGAGAATATCTTGGTGAATTTCATTCCACAAATCATCGTTCTTCGATAATATATGATGATCGATCGATCGTTGTAACAGTCGACAAAACAATTGAATCCTATTATCTTTTGAGGAGTCTAGTTGAAGCAGTCGATTGAGATCATTGCGAATGGTGACAAATTGAATCTTTGTCGATTGTGAACACGGCTTTGTGGTCGATTCTAATATATCATTGATTAAGTTTGTTGCACGTGAAATTACTTGTTCTATGATCATCTTGAAGGTTTATATCTAATATAGAAACATGTAGGTTTAGATTAGAGACTCGCATCTGTATGATATTAGCAGTACTCTTTAAATTTATTTTTCTTACCTTGTTTCAATGTTTCTTACAATTTATTACCATGATCAATCGATTCTTTTTTCTTCAAATGAATCACTTCTTCTCTAACATGGTAAATTTTGTTTTTTTTTCTTCTTCATCATGCTGAAAAGGCCAGCCGATAATAACGATAGAACGAGTTAAAAATGAGAGCAAGCAAGAAAGAAACTTGACGCATCATTTTGCGTTTGCACCGAAAGAACAGAAAAAAAAAGTTAAAGGGTTCTCTTTGCTTAAAAAATGACTTGCATTTCCACTATATACATCTCGTCCTTCACACTCCTTCATGTACAGCAAAAAGACATTTTCTTCCACTTCTTCAGAGTAGGGGTGTTACTTTACCTTTACTTTATAAACAAAGATATATTTTTTCATGTAACAGGTTCATATGCAAATACCCTATATTAGTAGTGCCCGTTCTTACCACCATCATCACTTCCATATGTCATATCGTCAGAAAACAAGGGCTACTGATGAAACGATCTATGAGAAAAAAAATGATATTGCGTATTATATTTAATTATATAATATGATCATTTTTGTGAGGTACTTTAACAAAATAAAAATAAAGTAACACTCTTACTTCAGAGAACATATCAACGATATTATGCATATCAGATGAGATAGAAACGACCATCGTACGCTTTTCTTCGAATTATACCTATTAATAACTATGTGAGAAGCATTTATACGTATTGTTCGAACTACTTCAAAATGATTGATTATTTAACGCGCCTTCGGCCTCAACCCTCACCATCACTCTTTACCACTTGGTCTTAAAAAGTTCTCGATCATGGGTAGTTACTAGATTTATTATGCAACTTCATAGTCAAGTATGAATCTCTTAAATCAAAAAGACTAGACCTGTCATAAGTTATGAGAATCTTCTGTACATGAGTGAAGACGCGTGACCGTGCCAACTAGTAGCTTGGATCACAAAAAGCAGCAGCTCGCTCATTTTCTAGTCTTCATAATTAAAGACTATAAAGGAAACAAATTATGTTTTTTCAATTTAGAACGCTTCCACATGCTGTCTTTGATTCTAGTCAATTTAGTGAACACATACATTCGTAAGTCTTCGACTTTACGGAAGGTTTCAAAATTTATGCCGTTCTGCCATTACACAACTAGTTTATTTTACTTGCATTACAGTATGTTATTTGTTTCTGTTGATGTATACATTCATATACATGAAATCTATTTACTCTTAGACTGTTTATTTTCTCCAAAAAGACAGAATTTATGAATTTATGATAAGAATTTCGTCCAGTCTTCTTACGTTAAAAGCTTCAGCCTTATTCTTGCTTAAAAAGGGTGTGAGTGTGGATGTGAGCGTTAAGTCCATCCTACACCCACACAAACTCAAACCCACACACGCCCACCCCCACACCCTTACTTCTATCATCTAGTAGGTTTATTTTAAAATCATCAGATGTACCGTGAAAAGTTCCACAAGTTTCATTAAAGATCTTATTATACATACGTCTGGAAAAAATAAGTTTTTGTCTGTATTTTGGGAATATCATTATCATAGCAGTATATTTTTAAAAAAATAATGATATATTCTGAGAGGGCATGAAGGTTTCTATCAGTCTACATATTTGCCTTTCCGTCTGAATAAATATATTACCAAAAAAAATGAGTTTAACGAAGGCACCCTCATGTCCAGATTTCCACAGACTTGATTTTGTCACTGTCACCAAGATTAGTTTTTAGAATTTTTCATCGCTATGGAATTATCTTCTAGAAAAAAGTAATTATGTATTCTCATAGAGCTTGAAATGCTCTATCACCTTGTATATTTTTTTATTTCCTTATATTAATTTATCAAAAAGAAAATTTGAGCACAATGAAAGCACCGTCCATTGACAAGTACGAACAATGGGCGTTTCCTGTTGCTTGTGGAGTTCCATCTTTAAATTTATTGTTCTTATGAAGAAGTTTATTTTTGAAAAGTAATCACAGATTCTTCTAGAGCTTAAAATTCTCTATCATCCTGTACATTTATTAACTCTTTTGCATTTATGTGCTAGCGAATAATTCGAGTCTTACATTGATATGCTCCTTAGCAAGATCTAGAAGGAAGCAGCTTTTTACTACATATCTCATTTTGCGTTTCAAAAGTACACGATGATAGAGAATTTCAAGCTCTCTCAGAATATCTAATTTCTTGCTTCAAAAGTTATTCTTTTATTAACAATAAAGTTGGAATGAAAAGAAACATATTACTAAAAAATAATTCAGTTGGGGGGGTGTAAAAAAAGAGAGCACCCACACCCACACCCCAAGATTGATGATAATTGATATAGCTGTGTATTTCAATTTATTTCCAACCATAATCTCGTCTAATTGACACCTAATTGGCTCGAATAGTTTGTATATTGTTCTCTCTTTTTTTTTCTATTTACTATTCTTGATGATGAAAAATAATACGAGTCAAACAAGTGAATAGAAAAATAATGTAGTTTTTGCTGTAAATCAACAATGATATTCGTATGAAACTTATGATCATTAATTCCCATTTATCTTCATTTCTCTTTGAACTGGATCTCTACCTATGCTCATTCATCAGGTTACTTTTACGCAGGATTGTCAAATCTCTTGATTTGACCAGGAGACTCCTGCTTTTTGGACTTTTCTCGTGAGGGATGTAATGTTCTCTTTATTTACAATTCATAGTATGTTTCATTCGAGAAAAGTATACAAAGAAAATTATTGTGTCAAAATTTTCATAATAAAAAAATAAAAATGTAATGCCTAGGAAGGAATTTGTTGTTCGATATACTCCTGCGCCTTCTTGTTCATAAGTAAATCACTATGCATCCGATCGGTATTGTTGAAAAAACTTTCACTCAATTATTCATCGAAGAACCAGGTAGAAAAAAACTCGAAATTGCTTTCTTTTCATTGTCGAATAGTTCTTCAATATAAACAATATTTCGTCTTCGATCATTACCAAGAAGATGTTCAAAATAGATCGACTGAAGATTATTTTGCCGAGCTATTCGAGCATTGATGATAAGTACTTTTAGTGTTGGATCTTGTTGATCGATATGATGTTCTTTCAACCAATGTTGAATAATACGATGCATTAAATCCAACTGAGCGATGGTGGCTGCGTCTAACAGAGCGAAAAGGTGATTTGAGAATTGTCGACAGAAAATCGTCAGACGAGTTTGATCGATTGATCCTTTATTGTCAATCTCTTGCCGAATTAGTGTTTGAAACTCACGAATAATTTTGAGAGCTAATGTACGTTCGTGCAGCCCAATTGAATCTGGTAACTGAAGGTTATGTAACTTTTCACAGTACTATTGTTCAAGTATGGTCTTGGATAAAGCGGAGGAGTTATCAGTAAGAAGAAAATAGAGAGTGAGTGGAATATGCAAAATGTTCTTGAGATCGTGATAGATCTGTGGAATTCATTTGACTGTTGTATAACGAGTTCCATTGTGAATAAGAGTAAGAGAACTACCATTAGCGATGATGAATGTACCATGTTCCATTTTTGAATGCCAAAAATTATCACGAGCTTTCATATATTGATTACGAAATTCTTTATCGAGCTCTTGCAATGGTGTTAAAGTTGGTTTAGTTGTTTTTGTCTTTGTTCGTCGAAACAGGAAGTATGTACTAACAGTAAAACAGATTATTGCTGATTCGATGAAAGAAAGAATATTAGAAAACTTTTCGAGTGTTAGCAGATTAAACATGACGAAATTACTTCTTCTTTTTAAGTGAGCATATCAATGAATGAAGAAAAAAGCCTATTTACTAAGTATATATTTACCATTTGTGTTTATCAACTATTTCACATAACGTAGGGTGTTTTCGCATATTCACTATTTCTAGTTGAAGAGAGCAGAAAAAGACGCGCGATAAATTGATTTCACTTTCATTTCTATTGCGCCCTATTCTCTATATCATTTTTTTTCCAAGAGTTAACTGTTTTACTAGTGTAATGCATTCGACTGATTTAAAGATTTTCTTGAGATGAGTTGATAAGATATATAGTTTATGTGAATTCGAATACTCCAGAAATACTTTTACTCTTGAGAAAAAAAAACGTTTAAAGGTATGTCAGATTATACCAATATACTTATTTTTCTGTTTTATACTTGATTATTTTCTCATTTCTGTTGCTCTCTTCAGAACGTGA